GAAAAGGCACTTAAAAAACCTAAAATCTATCTTCCTATGACCTTTCACACCGGCACGTTGAAAGTAAGACAATCCATTCACAAACACTGGGATATATTACAATCGGAAAAAACATTACTCCATTTTTGGACATTCCAGTTATTAGCTACAAAATAAATAAATATTTGAAAGATATTTATTTTGGTGAAAAGTTATCCGACAATTTGTTTCCGTAAACCTGCGACAATCACCAAGAAAGGTTGCTACAAATGTAGTGGATTTGTGACCTGCAGTCACATGGTCAGTGGTGCGACTTTTGCACATCCCCACAGTGGCCAGAGAATTAAAATACCACACTATATAACTTGCACCACTGACCATGTGATATATATGATCACATTCCCCTGTGGACTCTCGTATGTGGCGAAGACAGACTTGACCTTAAGAGATTGCATAAGGGGACACCGATCTACCATAACCACAGCATTTAGAGATCAACGCAGTGACAAACCGGCCGCCAAACATTTTTACAAATGGAACATAGACTTCCTATGTTACGTTTTATGGTCATTGATCACATTCCCCCGATGCCTAGGGGAGGTGATAGATCGAAGATGCTATTACAGCGAGAGGCACAGTGTTCATATATATATATATGATATATATTTTTCATATTGTTTATTGCCTTAGTTTCAAAATAATTTTTCACATTGAGCCATTAATCCTTTGTAATATGAATTATCTTAGTAATCTTATATGTAGTATCATCTTGCATAGAATTTATTGTGCTTTGCCATTCTATATATGATTTATATATATATATCTCTGCTTTCTTTGTACATATTTATGCCAGCATTTTCCTCTTCTAATGTATATAGATAGAGTGTGTTCCTGGGTACATCCAGGGCCGGACTGGGGATACAAAGCAGCCCTGGAAAAAAAATTTGTGCCAGCCCCATAAGTCACTGCGCCATATATTGTCGCCTGTAACATGTAAGGCTATGTCTTGCCAGGACAGATGATTGAGTAATATATATATATATATATATATATATATATATATATATATTGCTTTTTCTAATATAAAATATTGGTCCTTTCAGTGTAAAACGTTTAATTATACAGTAAGCATACTCACATGCAGACACAGGCAATTTCACTGACATCTCAATGACACACACAAGCTCATTGATACACAGCCTCATAGACAAACAATCTTACTGATATACATCAGCTCATTGACATAAAAACACAAGCTCACTCTCTAGCAGGCACACGCATGCAAGCAAGCTCACTCACTAGCAGACACGCACACAGCTTAATGTGGTGGTACTGGTGTCTATAGAATGTCGCTACAGGATTTTCAACGTAAACACTGACTTTTCAGAAAAAAGGCAGTGTTTACATTGCTTCAAAGTGACACTGCTAGTGACAGTCACTCAGACGGTCACTAGAGGTGCTTCCTGTGTTAGTGCACCTACATTCAGGGCCTCCACACTCTGTACGTGCTGAACGTTCCCCATAGAGATACATTGATTCAATGCATCTCTATGAGGAGATGCTGATTGGAGTGGCGTTTTGCAGCCAATCCTATGGCAAAGCAAGCTTGATGATCTCAGCTATAGAGGCAGGGCCAGTCGAGGGGAGACCAGCACGCTGCGTGGGGAAAAAAAAAAGGTGAGCAAAAACACTATTTTTAAACACACATTTACACCATGACAGACACAGAAACACACATATACCATGACAGATACACACCCCATGACAGACACAGACACAGACAGACACACACCCCATGACGGACAGACACACACACACCCAATGACGGACAGACACACACACACACACACACCCCATGACAGACAGACACACACACACACCCCATGACAGACACACACACCCCATGACAGACACACACACACACACACACACACCCCATGACAGACAGACAGACACACACACCATACAGACAGACACTATAACACAGACAGACACATTACTAGTACCTGATACCAGGGGAAGGTCTTCTGGCGGCCGCTGGAGGACTTGTCCTGGCGGCAGATGGGGGGAGCTGCGCTGTCTGTGCTCTCCAGCCCTCGCGCGCTGCTGAATGAGACCGGCGCCGGAATATGACGTCATATTCCGGCACCGGTCTCATTCAGCTGCGCGCTGGGGAGCAGAGCCAGCACAGCTCCCCCCAGCGGCCGCCAGGACAAGTCCTCCAGCGGCCGCCAGAAGACCTCCCCAGCGGCCGACAGCAGACCCAGGTGTCTGCCCGGCCCCAGGAGCTGTAGATGCGAATATCCATTTTGCTCAACAGGAGCCGACGGCCCACCGGGAAATTTCCCGGTATCCTGGTGGACCAGTCCGGCCCTGGGTACATCAAATATTCCTATACTACTTCAACATACTGTAACGGACCGTTTTGCCCACAAGAGGTTAAAAACCGTTTAGGCGATATTCTCCTTTTTCAGATGCACAGACAGCTACTGCAAATCCACGAATTCACCAACTCCCGAACTGCAACCAAGGGAATACTCGAAACCCCCGAACTGCATATCAAGTAGTATTCCAAACTCCCGAACTAGAGACACACGAATAGCTGTTAGCAGATGAACAGGAAAAGCCCCCAAGCGGCTTACACTCCTGGCAATCAGTCTCTAACAGCATACAGTAAATCCCCCTAAAGACGAGACGACACTTCGGTTTGAGGGTCAAGCAGAATCTGTTTTACTGGGGCTAACTGCCCGGCTTTTATGCAGGTCTCCCACCTGGTGGACACTCCCCTAGGGGACCAAATAGGAAACTGGGAAACATATTGGCTCTTAGCCATTCACAGACATACACCTTTAACACTACCACAATTACATCACAATCCCTCCTCTCTGTCCTGGAGATAATTGGGGAAGTAATCCACTTATCTCCCAGGACAGAGGCAAAACTCCATTAACCTCATGGCAGTAACAATACAGTGAAAGACATAAAATTACATACAGTCACATTTATTACCTAAAACATACATTCTACATATCCCTAGATAGCTTAGATCTGAGCGCACATTACTACCGAATGGCACTCAGATCACATACATACAGTTCAATCGTCATGGAGCCAAAGTCTTTCCCATAGTCTTTCGTTACACGAATAGGCTCCATGGCTTAGCTATCTG